TCCCCCGCGCCACCCGCCTCACTCACCTTGGCGCGGTGCCTGCGGCGCCGCTCCTTCTGCCCCCGGGGCCCTGGCCTCCCTCGGGTGGGCTCCGCTGTAGCCCCCAGGCCAGAAGCCCCGGGAGGCGCCGCCACCCGCCTGGCACGCAGGGTCGGGGTGGGCGCGCCGCGGGGCCGGGGCGGCTGGGCCTGGCTAAGAGCCACCAGCCACCGTGTGCCAGGGCCCCGGCCTGGGACTGCGAGTGACGGGCACAGCCTCCGGCCTGGCACGGAGTTCCATTCGGGGCCTGCCAGCAGCTTGCTCTCCGATAGCCCCGGGTCGGGCTCCAGAACGTCCCAGAGTCACCCACCCACTCCCGGGGCTCCTCGGACTCAGCACCTCCCTGGTTTGGGGTACAGCCTGGGGACTAAGGGTGCGCTCAAGTCCCCGGTCCGGTGCCTATACCCAGGAGATCCCAGGAGAACCCTTTCCAGCTCCTTTAACCCCCACCCCACCCCCTTTTGACCCTGGGAGCAGGTCCCTAGACCTCCCGCCAAGCTAGAACCATGCGGGATTGGATGTTGGCAGTTTTGTCCAAAGAACAGCTGGACAACCCATGGAGGCTAAGGCGAATTGCTCAGGGTCCTGGAAGTTCAAGGAGAGAAAGGACCACCAATCCCACACAGGTTTCCTTCTCCAGGGCCTTCCGACCTTTCTACTTGAATCACTAGGTGGGTTAGTTTAAATCCTTGTTCTTAATGTCCTGCTGTCCCTAAAGATCCGCAGGGGCTGCGGGCCTCTCTCCGGGGTGCTGCTCCACGTGCACTGGGACACCTTGCCGGCCAGGTCACCTGTGTTTCTGGCACAGCCTTTGACAGTGCCTCTCAGGTGCACTGCAGAGAGCGCTGCCTTCGCCTGGCCTCCCACTTCTCCTACGTCTCTCAGGTGCACCGCAGAGAGCGCCGCCTTGGCCTGGCCTCCCACCTCTCCCACGTCTCTCAGGTGCACCGCAGACAGTTCTGCCTTGGCCTGGCCTGGCCTCCCACCTCTCCCACGCCTCTCAGAATTTCGCTGCTCTTCTCCAGGCGCGGTTAGCCACCGGGCTCACCCTTAGCAAGCTTTTCTCCGTGGGCAGGAGAGGCTGAGGAAGTGCAGACCACCTCCCCTCCTTCCACACCCAGGAGGAACCAGGCTGAGGCTGTCTAGGTTCAGCCCAGCCTCACCGCCGCACCAC